TAATAAATATATTTAATAAATCATGAACGCAGCACCCCAAACTATCAAATAGATAATTAAAAGAGTAAGCCCTCGATTCCAGACTTCTCAGTGACAGTTTAATCTAAATATCAAATTGTCTCTGGTTTCTCTAAAATATTCTCATTTAATTTATGTTTTAGAACATCTGACTCGAATCCAGAAACAAACAAATAATTTATTCGACGTTATCATTCCGTATTATGGAACATAATGAACATCTGCTACCGTCACCTTAATAAATTTAACACGTATTTCCGCATCCTATACTAAAAGGATCCTCATCGACTGAATTTGTAAATGCCACTCCTCTTTATGAACCAAACGCTCCAGCGTTCAGTAAAAAAATTAAGTGGCTTTAACCTGTAGACTTGATAACATCTACCCCCAAGATTCTTATGGCGAGCTAGTTATCACCTCCGCTTTCGTTTTTCTGTTTGAGAAAACCATTTGACACTGACATGCCACTTGTATGAACTTGAATTACATCTGGACCTCAGAGAAATTACAGACGGGAAATTGTAACTGAAAATAATTTAGTATATTTTTATCAATTTAGTCTTATTTGATGCGTAATTTGTGAAATATGCATCTATTAGCAAGCAGACGAGTATCTTTAATTAAAATTAGAATAACTATAATTATTGGTTTTAATAAAAGAACATTTTATTGATTTACGAAACATAATAAATATCCAGAAATTCTAAATGAAACAGGCCGGGTCGTATTATTTTATCAATTTAGACTAACCTTTTTTCGACTAATTAATTTGATTTTAGTTGTTGAATTAAAAATACCGGCTCTGGAACGTCTAAATAATGAAATAATTTCAGGTAATATAAAGTGTGTTTAAGAATATCGTATCATACATTCTAGGGATAATAGAGTATTAAAAAAATGAGATTTGTTGCTTTTCGGATATTAAAAAATTAGTTCAACTATCTCGCACCGTTGTCGCGGAATTATTCTCTTAGATTTCAGGCTTTGTTTCCAGAATATTCGAAAGATGCGTGAAAATTTGGGATCCATAGTGATCTTTGGTGGCCGGTCTGCTAATATCATCGGATTCTGTCAGTCTGCTTCTGTGGACAGATTATGGTGGGTCAAAACTTCAAAGAATTTTTCGACTCCACAACCAGCGCTATTTTGGTGGCTTATAATAGCTTTGTCTTTTGAACACCCCAACAACGGTTTCCAACAGTCAGATTTCAGATTTCTTCTTTTACGAGTGCTTCGGTGTAGAAATTCGAAAGATGCGTAAATTTAGAATTGGAATTACGCTTTATTTGGAAAGCAGGCTTTGCGAAAGATTCTCATTAGTCTGATTTAATTCATTTTTATGTAAGTTATATGGAACTAATAATAAGTCGAACTACTTTTTAGTCCAGGGAACGAAGAGAAAAATAGGGTAAAACCTCCGAATACTTTCGAATATATATGCTTGATATGCGTTTCTTATTTTTGGGATTGAAAACCACCCCTTATGCTAAAAAACTTAATATAATATAAAAATAGGTGTTATATAGTTAAGTTTCAACCCTTAAAAACCACCCTTAATGACAAAAATATAAAATGAATAGTTTCTGCGACCTTAAAATATTTTTATAGCGCATATATTATAGATAGAAATCTTTTCGGTAGTTTATGGTATTATCAAAAATATTTTACAATATTTCAACAAAATATTTAAAAAAATAGTTTTTAACAGTTTTAAATGATTTGATAGTACAAACAGGATAAATTAAACTCTTCTATATGTTTATAATAAGAGTATAAGAGTCGATCATGATGAAGTACTGAATATTCTGGTCAACTTAGACGAAAATAAGGGTGCTGACCCTGATGGAATTCCTTCATTCTTTGTAAAAAAATGTGCCAATTCACTTTATATACCACTAACTATTTTATTTAATAAATCGTTTGAAGAAGATGAATTTCCACAATTGTGGAAGGCAGCTTTTGTGATACCTATTTTCAAAACAGGTGAAAGACACTTAGTAAAAAACTATCGTCCTATCAGTAAATTAATATCGTTAGTAAAGGACTGGAGAAGGTGAGTTACGATAACTTATTCAATGCAGTTAAATCTTCAATAATTTCGCAACAGCACGGTTTTTACCCTAAAAGATCAATCGAATCGAACCTAATACAATATACGAACTATATTTATTAATAACTACATGGATTGTCAAATTCAAGTAGATTCAGTATACACCGATTAGCAAGGCGTTTGATAAAATCAACCACAACATTATTATAGCTAAATTGGTTGAGATGGCTTACATCATATATTTTCAATAGATCGCAGCTGGTAACAATGAATGGTTACCGCTCTTTTTCATTCACAGCTACTTCTGGAGTGCCTCAAGGATCTCACTTGGGTCCATTATTATTCTTAATCTATAAAAACGATATAAATAAATGTTTTAAATTTTGTAATTTTTTAATGTATGCTGATGATCTTAAGATATATTCTAAAATAAATAGCCTTGCGGAATGTACATTATTTCAAAATGATCTTGATACATTTTATAGTTACTGTTTGCTGAATAACCTTCATTTAAATTTCAAGAAATGTCATTATATTTGTTTTACTCGCAATAAAATTTATTTAGATTTGACTATAACTTCAATAACGAAAGGCTTTCTTACTTACAGGAGATAAAAGACCTAGGTGTTATTTTTGATAGAAAATTAACTTTCTCCCCCCCCCCCCTATAGAGTACATTACATTGAAAAGCAGTAAGATGTTAGGGTATATCATCAGAGTATCTAAGGATTTTAGAAGGGTAAATTCCTTAAAATCATATTTTGTTTAAGTCTATAGTTTAATAAATTTTGCTTGAACCGTTTGGAATCCCCAGTATGTGGTTCATAACTCCCGTCTTGAAGCTATTCAAAACAAATTTCTTAGATACCTGAATTTTAAAGTTACCGGGGTATATACTTTCCAGAACTCGGCTTTTCTACAACAAACATTTAAAATTGGATCTTTAGAAAATAAGAGAAATCAGAATGACGTAATATTTTTGTTTAAACTTCTGAATAATCTAATCGACTCGCATAACTTATTAAATCTTGTAAATATTTATGTACCACCCAGAAGTTTTAGAGTTAATATATTATTTCAAGAGTCATTTTAGCACCTAACTCTGGACAAAATTCGCCGTTGAACAGAATGTTCAGAACTTACTTATGTTTGGTTTGGTTGTAAATCAATTATATTTAGTGAACATTGTTTTGGGCTCTTAGCCAGCCTGTTCATGTTCCGTTTTCCTAAATAAATAAATAAATAATACAATTTATAATTTATCGCTTTATTTTAACCCCTTAAAAAACACCACCAATGACAAAATATAGGTAATAATCCAATAAACAATGCAAAATAATTTTTTTTCGTAATAACTTTCTTTCTCGCAACATACTTTAATTTATGCAATATTGAAAATAATTATTTCTCAATATTTTTGTTATGCAGAAAGTCATAATTTCAAATTTTCTTATATATATATGCTCCAAAGTTGTGGATAATCAACATATTGTTATGCTCCGAAAAGCAGTAAGGTACCGTTGTTTTCTTAACGATAACTTCCTTAATTTTAAAGCGTTATTTTTGAGATATATGAGGTTGAAGGGATTGAAAAACATGACCTTCGCCCCTAACTGCAAACTTCTAGTAGCGACATCTGTTGTTAATTTTTATCCTACACAAATAAAAAGACAACCAAAATATTCCGTGAAAAAAAATCTAAACTTTGAACTCTTGAATATTTTTCGTATCTTTTTTATTTTTAAAGTTATTTTCAAAAATATGTTATTTTCTTTGGAATTAAAACAAATTTTTCAATCAAAAAGTAATATTTGCAAAAATATGCATTCTAAACCGCTTCAGGACACCAAGTTATTTTCAAAAATATGTTATTTTCTTTGGAATTAAAAAAATGTTTTCAATCAAAAACTAATATTTTCAAAAATATGCATTCTGAACCGCTTGTATAATATATTGTTAACACATATAAAATGTAATTGTAGAAGGATTACCTTTAATTTTAAACCTCGTAAATATTCATCAGTTTTTGTACCGATTTTATTTCCGAAAAAGCGAATTAATAGTTTTATTTTGATCATCTCTGTTAATTTTTATGCTAATGCTTAAGGTCAAGTTCATTTTAAAGATGTTTTAAAGTACTTTAAAAATGTCCTGTGCATTTTTCTTGAAAAATAGATTTTTTTTAGTTATTTTACGTTAAATGCTTCCAATTTAGTATCTGCCGGACATGAAATATCTTCAACCAACCTCTTGTATCTACATCAAGAAACCTCAATCTTTTCTTTTTCTATAAACTTCATTTTCTTCGTAAATTTTATTTTTAATAGAATGTCTATTATCAGAGTTATTTGAGAAAAACTACTGAAAAACGTTTTTTTTTAATAAAAAATATACATTATCAATCACCAATAAGTAACTAATATTGACTTATCGAAAAATGTTCATAAGATAATTTTTGCTTAAAATTGTTTGCTTTATCGATTCCTGGGGTTATTTTCAACATTTTATTTTTCATCCCCCGGGAAAAATCACTACATAACTTTTGTTTCTTGAGCTATTTTCTACTTCTAGTCCAAGTTTAACGTCAATCGGTTCTATCTGAAAGAAATCGGGGAGGAAACCCGTGATTCCCTGGACTATTTATTTAAAAATCTTAGGTGTAATTTTTCTACATACCTAATCTTTCCTGATATATTTCTTAATGTCGTTTTATGTCTATGATCAAGTTGGGATAAATTTATAACGAAGTAATTCTTTAATAATTTTTTTAGATGTATCACAGGCTACATTCGACAAACAAGTGAAACGCGTGATCCTTTTCTAACACTCTTAAATAAGTGAAATATTAAAATTGTACAAAGTTATTTCTATTATATTACTTACTGTTGCTTTCTAAAATATTTTTGAGAACTAATAAAATTGTAATTGATACCTCCGATCCTACAGAAAATCCATTGTTCTCCGACAAATGCTTTTCAAACTTTGACAAATAGAATGGAATCGTTTCTCTCATCAGCTTAGCTTTCTTTTCTTCTTTCTTTACTGGATCCTGCTCCATCCTAAATTGGGCAATTCCTGAAACAAAAAGAAATAATCCTTGATGAGTTAATTCAGCCCCCCTTAAAAAAATAGATATGACATATCCTACAGAAATGTAGACTCTGTCAACTTAATATACGGAGTGTTTCTGAAATAAATGCGTTACTTGAAAAGCTTGATAGAGGACACGAAAATGAATAACTTTTATTAAGCAACTTCGTTTTAATCTACAACATTACATTTTAAATTGGAAAATAAATGTTCACATGTTCATTCATCGAATTTCATTAGCTGCAGCAAAAATACGCTGTTCTGATCTGCTGCATCGACAATAGTCGTTCGGTATTTTTTTCACTCAATGGAACAAATTGATATTATACATCATCGACAATTATTATTACCAATAATATAAATCACCAAAAATATCCAAAATTCATAATATATTCAAATTCATTCTCGCTCAATAACTATTTTTGTCTACAAAAACTGTCTCAAAATAATATTAAAAATAACAATTATGTAGTTTTACTATTGAAAATTATTTATTTACAATATTATATGCATTTATATGAAAGGAAAATGAGATTATGGCTCATAAAATAATAGTATCATTGAAATAAAGAAAAAAAATCATTGTAAGTATCTTTATTGAGTGAAAAAAATTGGGTCCAAAATGAAAAAAACAAAAATTTTATCTTTACTTCAACTTCAATCGTGAATAACTTTTGAAGGAGTAAATTTATGCAAAAATGTAAAGAGACCTTTAAAGAGAGCATTAAATTGCCTTTGAAAATCTGTATTGTTCTTTTTCAGATATTAATTTGTTCGTTATTTACAAAATTCCAAAGTTAAAAAGTCAAATCGAAAAAACATATAAATTTTCAAGGCTTGATTACATGGAAACAGCTCGCCTGTCGAAAATTTTCAATCAGACCTTTTTCATTCAATTTCCTACAAAAATATATGTAGATAACTTTTTTTACCTCGATTGTTTGGCAGTTTTGGCGCAAAAATGGGATCAGGAATAAAAATCCAAACTAGCGATGATATAGACCTCTTAAAACTAATATTATGGGATCAAACTATTTTTTTTTTGTCATTCTGAATGATATTATCAATATATCTTTCAAAAAAAAATAGTTGATTTTTTTGGCCAAGTCTATTTTATTTCATACAGCCCCACACAAAAAAGTTCAGTCCATATCCGGACTTCGTGCTGGCCAACGTACAGGACCATTTCGTCCTATCCACCTTTCCGGAATGTTGGTATGGAAAAATTTACAAACTGCACGGGAAACATGGGGAGGGGCACCATCATACATGAGGGCACGGATATGTAAAGGGACGTCTTCCATCAAATTCGGTAAGGCGTTTGTTAAAAACTCTAAATAAGCAGCACCATTTAAACGTGCTGATAAACACTATCGAACCGAGTAATCTGTCACCAAAAACACCACAGAACACATTCACTGAAAACCGTTGCTGGAACCCAGATCTTTGTACAACCTGAGAATTTGCATCACACCAATAGTGAATGTTGTTGAAATTTAGTATGTCGTCTCTGGTAAAACAAAATTCATCCGTAATCTTGTAAAATCCGGATCTTGTGCTGTTTTATACGGAGCTGAAAATCATTATTATTTCATGCCTGAACCTGTTGGACATGATAAGGGTTTAATAATTGTTCCCGTAGTACATGCCACACGGTACTGTCACTTCTCGGCAAATGTCGCGGGTACTGCGCCTCAAACCTTCCTCAACGAGGTTTATAATGTTTTTTTCGTTATCGAAAACATGTCACGGCCTTTCCCCTCCACGACCTTGATCTGGCAGGTAGACACTCATGGTATCAGGTAACCTTTGAACTGGCCTTTACACTATTAGGTTGTCGTCTGTTGCAATAACGGACCGCATACAAACAAGTCTCATTTTAATTGGACTGTCATTCTCCGCATATTAACACCATATCTAGTAATATTGCAACATACAACTAAAAAACACACGACATACTGACTTACCATCATATTTGTTTGATTGTGGAAGTCACGTGGAACATCAGCCAATTAGAAAAACGCTCTACGCATGTAGCGAGTCCGACGCATTCTGTCCGTGCACGTGCACAAGATGCATAGTGTCGGCTTACACTTATGGTTGCTTAATAAAAGTTGCTCATTATTGTTGTTGTTCCTGTTCAGGGAACTAAAACTGCACCTAAGCTATAAGGAAATACACGAACCATTAGTTTAAAGATTCCGATTTTTATATATCATTCCAAAGGTTGAAGAACACAAGCGAAATTGTTAGATTGATCTGTTACTTGACAAAACTTTATTCTACTAAGTTTTCTGCTATATTGTTGATATCTAATGGTTTTTGTGAAACGCAGATGTACATTTGAGATGTCACTTAGACTTTTATTTAAAACCTTTTTAAAGAAAAGGTAATAACGTTCCAAATAAGACATTTCAAATATTTTACCATTAAATAAAACACAGCAAAAAAAAATACTGCATTTCTAGAAACCTCTATTTACAAAACTTAAAAATAATGTTCTGGATAATCGGTTTGCCTATACACAAAAAAAAATAATAATAATCCAGAATCGTTCTCTGATATTAGAATAATTAGTATTTTACCTGCGCTTTCCAAAATTTTTGAAGGATTGTTATATAATCAAATTTATAAGTATTTTGTAAATAATAGTCTCTTACCTCTATCCCAATAAGGCTTCAGGAAAGGGCATAGTACTTCAACTGCTCTAATTACCGTTACTGATGTTTTAATAAAAGCACAGGACAGGGGACTAGTTAGTGCTTTAGTTTTATTGGGCTTCTCTAAAGCTTTTGACACAATTAATCATAATTTTCTTTGTTCTAAACTTAAGTACTATGGTTTTGATGAACCCACTTTTGATCTTAAGATTTCAACGGGTATGTGTTAATAACATTTTATATAATAGTTTAGAAATACTTTCTGGTGTACCCCAGGGTACAATTTTGGATCCCTTACTTTTTATAATTTACACTGCTTCCATTTTAGAATCTATTCAACAATGCAAAGTACAAGCTTATGCTGATGATACTCAACTATTTTATCATTTTGATATTAATGATCTGGATCAAGCATGCAATATTGTCATCTCTGAGTTACAAACTGTAAGGCAATTATCTGATGAGCATAATTTAAAATTAAATTCTAAGAATTTTTTTTTTGTACTAAGAAAAGGGTACAAATATTAAGACTCAACTTTAATATTACAATACATTACAATAATAATTGATGGTATTCCAATTCCTATTACTGACAGTGTAAAAAATCTGGGAGTGACTCTTGACAGTAACTTACGGTTCAATCAGCATGTGAAAACATTACTCCAAAAATCTTATTCTTTGCTTAGATTAATTTATAGTAGTCGTCATATTCCGAGTAAAAGATAAAATTATGCTATGTGAGTCACTTGTTCTTTCCTATTTTAATTACTGTGATTATGTCTATGGTCCATGCCTTAGTATGCAAGAAAAAAATAGAATTCAAAAAGTACAAAATTCATGTTGTTGACATGTACATGAATTAAGAAAATTTTATCATATTTCTCACAAAATAGTAAAAATCAAGTGGCTCAACATGGAGAATCATCGACGTCACCATCTTGGCAATCTTGTGCATAAAATTGTAACTATTCCTTCTTATCATTCATTAAAAACTAAATTTATCCTAATGTTCATTCGAGGAATATCCGATTTAAAAATACTTTTACAATGCCACATCATATAATGCTCTATTTAAAAGATGACTTATAATTCTATCACTTTATACAATTCTCTTCCTGATAATTTTAAAATTTTTAATATTAACAAATTCAAGTATAAATTATCATATCTATTGAGTGGACAGCTGATTTTATAGTTTATATTCGAGGATTTTTATTTTAAACTGTTGATTATTGTTAGGTAATAATATTTTATTTTAATTGTGTTATTGTTTCTTTTCTGACCGATTGTCTGTTGTTATTTATGTATTTTGAAATCACATGCTATCGCATACAAATGGTTGAGTGTGAATAGCTTTTACTAGACTTCGGTATGGGTATGCGAATTTTTTCCTTTACTTTTTTCTATTTCTTTATTTTTATATTTACATTATCTGCTTCTAATAAAGACGATTTATTATTATTATTATTATTTGGTCAGCTCTAAAACCTTCCAGTGCCTATTTTCATTTGAATGGTTCAAAAAATTATCATAAGAAAATGAAATAATATAAATACATTTTTTTATGAATGTCGTAAGTTTTTGGGGAACCCAACAGAACTTGATACAAGTCTGTTTACCTTCGCCCAAATGGAGCTTGATGTATGGTCCATCCGTTTCCGAGCGGAATAGGAGAATTAAATATTTGATAAAGATATATATAACTACAAATTATATTTCACATTAAAGTGATTTTATCAGAAACAGAATACTGTTACCTTAACTGAACGGCGATTCAGGTAGGTGGAAGTTAATCTCACTGATATTTGAGTTGTTTGATTGAAAAAGTTTCCTTATTAAGTAGGCAGGTTGGAAATTAGATCAGAAGATATAACTTGAACTTGGTGAAAATGTTACTAAATTATAATTAAAAGACAAATTTGTTCATGCAGGAACAAGAAAATAAACAATCAAGGGAGTATATCAAACATTATAGTAACAATAACATAACAATATTAATTGGGCATAGATAAAAAATTGCTCATTTGTAAAATATGCTAATTAAAGGGGTAGAAGCTAAGTTTACTTTCCAAACTTTTTGCACCCTCGAACAAGGGCATTCCAGATAAGGAGGTGACGTTATAAACTCAGAGGATCAGGCGTTCCCCCGAACAATTTAATTAATAACTGTGAGTTTTAGGCTCGAAATTTCAAACCATTTAATCCGAGCTGAAAATTCGTGCCTATGTTCCACGCATTGGTCGTGAGAACGACGAGGAGAGAATAAATTATACTACAGTTATTAGAGGTTCTTCTATAATTTTTAGATCCACAAAATAAATGGTT